CTTCAGACTGTAAGACGGCCTTTTTGCCTAATGGATTGAAGGAGCACTGGCCAGGGAATCAGGAGCACCTGAAGGAGTCCTGGTTAGGGACTTAGGATGCCGCAATTGTAGACCTGAATCCAGTACACACCGGATTCACTTACTGCTAGATTCACTCACACCCCTCATCATGTCCAATTCATTTAAATCATCTGGGCTTTGATTTCCTTGTCTATACATTGAGAACAGTCACTCCTGCGCTGCTTTCTCAACACGCTGCTCCGAGGAGCCGATTGGCAGCTGTCAGAGCATTTGTTACACTGAGGGTGACTGCGGACATGTGCACGGCAGCTGTAGCTGTCCTCCCACTGGACTTTCACCAACTTCTTGATCCTGTGCCTTACTTTTTCCTGGAAGGTCTGTGCCATTAATCTCAATGTAGAAAAGTCATGAAAGCAAACTCTGATTTCTCTTCCTTACATCTCCCTCCCCAGTTCCTTGTCCTTGACTGAGCCCTTTTTCTATACCAGGTGGGGAGGTGTTTGGGACACAGCTGAGACTCTGAATACCCCAAACATTCACTATTCCCTCTCCTTCAATGCTCTACCCACCAGCCCCCTACTCACTATTTCTCCCTTACCAAACCTATTCACCTCTTATTCCCCACCTCGAGCACACTCTTCTTCCTAAATATTTTCTGCTCTGCCTCAGCAGAACACACTTTTATCTTCTTTAAACTCTTGGGGCTGCTCATCTTTCATCGCATTTCCTATGGCCTTAAAATACTCTCACACATGTATCTGAGTATACGTATCTTACTCTACCCAATGGCACATACCCAGACGCAAGAGCGACTTGCTTATTAGGCTCATGTGACAAATATGTCATTTTTGGCATCCTCCACATGGTAGTCCAGACAGAATTGGGTAGGTAAATATGTGTTGGGTTGAGTTGAAAGGAAAGAAATTGAAGACATGTAGCCACATGTTTATCCCCTAAACAAAAGTAGTCTCTAAGGACATGACTGCTCACAGTAAGAAACTGAAAAACGAAGAGGCTACAATCCTCAGTCACGTGGAATCTCTATCATTGAGCATTCCAGATCTTCCCTTGATATCATACTGATAGGCTGATGCCAGAAAGCAGATTGTCCAAACAGAAGCCAGGGCTTAGTACTCCACCTTCCTTAGAGGTAAATGATCTTTGTAGAACTTTATATTCCATAGCAGAAGATGCAAATATTAGCCAGGGCTGGTGACCCCTCTGTTTAGGTTATAGCTGAAGTTGTAACTCAGTCACATCCTCTCAGAGAGACAATCCTTGCTCCCAAGATAAGGTTTCAAGAGCTTGTGAGCCAGGAAAATTGTTTGTCCAGCTGTCCGTGTCATTTGTCATGTACTTTCTGGTGAGTGACTCCACAGTTTCAAAGAAGTTCCAAAAGCAAACTTGAGATCAGAAAACGTTCAGGTTATCTCTTCACCCTTGGGCAAGTCACTTCCCCTCTCTGGACCTCAGTTTCCTCTTGAAGGAGGGAGATTAAAATTGCGCTTAAAGGTTCCTTTCAGCTCTGATATTTCAGGACCCTGTTCTGGGATACAGGCTGAATTCCCAGGATCTCAGGCAACTATTCTTCCCTTACTTGCTTCTAAAAGAGTGTGTGGCTCATTTTTTCCCATGGGCCTTAGCTGGAGCACGCGTCCCTGTTCTCTGGAATACCGTGGCTCTACAGGTGATAGCTGTTCATCTGTCATCATGAAAAGGTCCTGTAGCTCAGAAGTTACAAGTTAAAAGTGTTCATGCTCCAGGGACCATCAGTTAGTGTAATGGCTATGTTGCTGGACTCCCACGTAGTCGACCTTGGTTCGAGGCCCGGACCTGGTGGCTTAAACTTATGCCGAGCACGTGTGCATGCATGCCCAAGATCCAGAGAGGAGAAAGGAGGAGAAGGGATTGCAATGTGACCATCCCCCCTGCGGGGGTGGGGGGGGTATTTCTCGCTTTCTATCTCTCTGTCTCTCTCTGTCTTTGTGGCAAGCGCACGCACCCAATAAGAAAAAACCTCTCCGAAAAAAATAAAAACAAAAATAAAAACATTTTCATACTCCAGTCACTATCCTCAAGAGGCCTTGGGAAGGCCGAGTTACAGGGCAGAGGCTGCTGTAGCTGGAATTGTTAATGCTCAAGGCATGACTTCATAGGTAATTAATTTTCTATTACATAGTAATAGGCCACACAAAAAGTCCAAGTTTATTAAGTTCTTAAGAAGACAGCAATCTCTGTGTTGAAACAACTGCTCACTAGTACTTAGATGGTTTACTTACTGTCTAACTATGAGGACTTGTTAGATCACCAGTTTGTCAGAATTAGAAGGGAATCCAAAGTTTTACTGGATCAAACTCCTGTCTTCCAAATGGATAACAGAGCTATGAGAGAGGGACAGTTATAGGGTAGCTTATGATAGATTCAGGAATAGAACCCAGGGCCTCTGACTGTCAGGCCCGCATACTTTAGATTACTCCAAAGCAGAGAGCACCAAGAGAGTGCATTTCATTTCATGTCATTACTCTTTGAAAAATCCCTTTCCCAGACCCTCACTGTAAATCTATTTAAGAATCACTTATTAATTTTCAATAAGGTCAATTTAACTAGTTTCTAATTCATAATGTATTAAAATTAGCAAACTGAAAAGTATAGCTAATAGGCTGATTAAAAGACAGGAAATAAAACACTACATAAAGAAGACCAAAGCTGCAAAAGCATTATTGCCTGGTAATGTCCCATTCAAAGCAAGTGACATTGCACAACTCAATAACCCCCGAATTCCCACTTTAATGTAATATCATGTTAGCACACACAGCACTATCCCATGATCACCAAAGAAGGGTTAATATGTTTCACTTAAGAAAGAAGGCATTTGTATGAAGAAGTTTTCAAGAAAAAAGAATTATACCTGAAACGTTTTGTAAAGCAATGTAGTTGGATCAACTTTCAGCTACCCGGAAAACTCAGTTAACCAAAATAATGCAGCAGCTGAGATATTCAAGGAAGTGACATTTCAGCTGTGCGGAAAAGGCACATTCTCCAGCAATAAGCTGGTGTGAGTTTGTTGGTATCTACAGAGAAGAGGAATAAAAAGCAGAGCCATGATCTCATCTTCTGTTTACACTTCAGTTCCCAAAGTTAGTGATTAATCGTCCTTGTGTTTTGTTGCCAGGGCAAATTGTTTTTCTTTAAAGCCCCCACTTATTTTAAATAAATAAACCATTAGTTTCGAAACAGAAGTGTCAAATGTCAAGACACTTCTGACATACTAAATTAATGAACAAAACAATGAATTCATTAGAAACTACAAGAGATAGGCAGCCTCTGAGAACTTTAATGACTTTGAAAAACAGCAGAAATCATTCTTGGTAAGAGATTTTCCGCCTGCATCTTAGTTAAAATGTTAGTTGAGAAATTGTAAACACACATGTAAGCATAAAAGAACCAGGCTAACCGTAAAATGGTAGACTGGTGAGTAGGTCAAGCATTCATAGTCAAATCAATTTATCAACCAGCTACCATATTGTTCTTTCCAAACTACACTCACACAGTCAGCTTTAGGCAACCAGCTTGGGACCCCTGCTTCAGTTTCTGAATTTCCCCAGAGCCTCTGATTCTTGAAAAGTAGGAAATTCTTTTAGCAAACAGGCAATTGTGTGCATCTATGTTAAGTCTTAAATACATAGACATACATGCACACTTTCTGGATGATTCCAATGAAGTTTCTGAATTATTAAGACTATCTATTAAATATAGTTCTGAGTACATCCCTTCCCTGTTTGTTTAAAAGTTTCAAATGTCTTCCACTTACTCACTGCAGTAATGGCATTCAAGGTCACCCATAATCTGCTTTCCACATATCCTTCCAAGCATATCTCCTCCTACAGTTCATGCAGACTCCCGGCTTCTCATTGTTCTCAGAGCGGGTGCCGCATCTTTAGCTCTTGATAACACATGTGTGTTGGATAATTACCACACGCCAGATCCTGGTCCACACACTAAAGACTCATTTCTAAATAAAAGAATGTCCTACTCTTCTGCAGCTTATGTTCTAATGGGATCTTTCACCTCCTTCTTTGTGCATAGCAGCATTTGTGCTACCATTAGAGCACTCGCCACAGGGTGTAACACCTCTGTCTGTGTCTGTCCTCGGCTGCACACAGCCATCCTGTACACAGGGCTATGTCTTCCTCGCCTCTCATCGCCCCTCTCGGTTTTCTCAGTGGCAGGCACACACTGGATGCTCAATGAATGACTTGCATACCCGTCTCGGTTTTCTCAGTGGATGCTCACACACTGGATGCTCAATGAATGACTTGCATTATATATAAAATTTATTTTGTTTGAAAATGTGGTAAAATCTTGTTGCATATAGAATTCACCTGAAAGATTATCTAACTTTTCTTACATCTTAACATTGAATTATTTTCTTTCTTTCTTTCTTTTTTGAGAGGTTTTTGCTATAGGGCGCATGTGCGTGTGCTCACCAGAAAGACAGAGAGAGACAGAAAATGAGAAATCACTCCCCAGGGGGGATGGCCATGCCGCAATGCCTTCTCCTCCATTCTCCTCTCCTCTTCTCTTGGGCGTGCATGCACACATGCCCTGGTGTGAGTTTAAGCCAGCGGGTCCAGGATTTGAACCACAGTCAACTATGTGGGAGTCCAGTGATATAGCCATTACACCAACTGCTGGTCCCCCAAACATTAAATTATTTTCAATAAGCTACTTGACTGTCAACAAAAATGACAAATGCAAGCTACTTGGAAATAGAATTAAGCTAAAGGAGTAAACTCACTAGATGACTTAATCTGTAGTGTGTTTTTCCTTCAATCTCAGGGCTCCTAACCCCCTTTCTTTGGGTTTGCTTAGCAGTCTAGTCCATCGTGGACAGCCTCTTCCACTTTCTTCCCAGAGCTCAGGAAAGACACTAAAATGGGGAGCTTCTCATCTTGTTCTGTTTCTCTTTGACCTCAAAGGTAGAAACTGAAGACCAAGTGCTGGCAACATTCTGTGGCAGAGAAACCACGGACACAGAGCAGACTCCGGGCCAGGAAGTGGTCCTCTCTCCTGGCTCCTACATGTCCATCACTTTCCGGTCAGATTTCTCCAATGAGGAACGGTTCACAGGCTTCGATGCCCACTACACAGCTGTGGGTAAGCTGGACCACTGGGTGCCTCATTCTCAGGTCTCTCTTTCTCCTTAGAGATGAAAACTGCCTATGCCCTCTCCTTTACAGTAAACAGCTACATACTCACCATCGAGATTCTACCCTGGCATCTTACTGATGTGCTTCATCATGTATCTATCTAGCCTCTAGCCAACATTTTATCTCTACTGATGAACTTCAAAGTAAAATATGTCTTTTTAATACTTCAGCAAGCATATCACTTTGCTAGAATTTAATATCTGGTTAGTTTCTTTGAGCCAGCAGGTGGGTGGAGGTTAAGGTAGCTGCATCTCATATGGCCAACTGTGTGGTTTGAGTCCTGGACTCAGCGGCTTGAAATTCATGCCAAGCACGTGTGTGTGTGTGTGTGTGTGTGTGTGTATGCCCAAAATACCAAGGGGAGAGGGGAGGAGAAAGGATTGTGACATGAACACCCCCACTGTGTGGGGGGTGATTTCTCACTTTCCCGCTCTTGCTCTTTCTCTCTCTAGTGAGCACATGCACTCTATAGAAAATTTAGAGGAAAAATCAAAACTATTCCGTTTTCTCTGTCAGTGTAAAATTTATATACAATGAAATGCACAAATCTTTTTTTCTTTTTATTTCTATTTCTTTCATACATTCAATCATGCTACTTAGCTTACAAAGTAAACATTCCAACATGTGTACATTTCTCAACAGCAATTAGTGCACATAAGAAGAAGATGGAAAGAAGGCAAATGGATCACCTAACATCGTGCCTCAGAGAATTGGAAAAGCAACAACAAAAAAATCCAAAAAACTCCAGGAGAAAAGAAATAATAGAGTCAAGCGGAATTAAGTGAAATAGAAAATAAACAAACTATACAGAAAATAAATGAAAGTAAAAGCTGGTTTTGAAAAGATAAACAAAATTGATGCACTACTAGCAAGACTTATTAAGAAAAAGAGAGAAAGGAACCAGGTAAATCAAACTTGCGATGAAGCAGGCGATATAGAAATACAGACAAAGTAGAAATACAAAACATCATTAGAGGATACTATGAACAACTATATGCTAACAAACAAGAAAGCCTGGATGAGATGGACAAATTCCCAGACACATATAATCTACCAAGCTTGAGCCAGGAGGATGTACAAAGTCTGAATAGCCCCATAACAAGCCAGGAGATTGAATCAGTAATAAATAACCTCCCAACAAAGAAAAGCCCTGGTCCTGATGGCTTCACCTCTGAATTCTACAAAACTTTCAAAGAAGAGTTAACCCCCATTCTGCTCAAGTTACAAAAGATACAAAAGGTAAAAACTCTCCCAAATTCATTCTATGAAGCCTCTATCACCCTTATCCTTGAAACAGATAAGGACAGGACAAGGAAGGAAAACTATAGATGAATATCTCTGATGAATATAGAAGCAAAGATTCTCAACAAGATGCTAGCAAATCATATCCAACAACATATAAAAAAGATTATACATCATGACCAGGTAGGGATGCAAGGCTGGTTCAACTTATGTAAAACCATAAATGTAATACATCATATTAACAGAAAGAAAGATAGAAACCACATGATTATATCAATTGATGCAGAAAAAGCATTTGATAGGATACAACATCCCTTCATGATCAAGACTCTCAGCAAAATTGGCATGGAAAGGACATTTCTCTACACAATAAGAGCTATCTATGAAAAACTCATAGCGAACATCATCCTGAATGGAGAACAGTTGAAAGCTTTTCCACTAATAACTGGTACAAGGCAAGGATGCCCACTTTCTCCACTCCTTTTCAATATAGTACTGGAAGCTCTTGCCAACACAATCAGAAAAGAGAATAAAATAAAAGGTATTCAAATAGGAAAATAAGAGATGAAATGATCTCTATCTGCAGATGGCATGATAGTACACATAGAAGACCCAATGGTATCCATGAAAAAGTCCTGGAAGTAATACATGAATACATTAAAGTTGCAGGATACAAAATCAACATACAGAAATTTATAGCATTTCTATATACGAACAGCAGGCAAACCAAGATAGAACTGAAAAAAGTAATTCCATTTACCATAGCCACAAAAAGTATAAGATACCTAGGAATAAATCTAACCAAAGAAGTTAAAGACCTCCACAAGAAAAACTACAAGAAGCTAAAAAAAGAAATTGAAAATGACACAAAAAAGTGGAAGGACATCCCATGTTTCTGGATTGGAAAAATTAATATAATCAAAATAGCAATTCTACCCAAATTAATCTACATACTTAATGTAATCCCAAAGTGCCAGAGACATTCTTCAGATCTAGAAAAGACAATCGTACAATTTGTCTGGAATCATAAAAGACCTTGTATTGCCAAAGCAATCCTGCACAAGAAGAGCGGAGTGGGTGGCATCTCACTCCCTAACCCAAAAATATACTACAAAATTGTGGTAATCAGGGAACCAGCAGTTAGCCTAATGGCTATGTCGTTGGACTCCCATGTAGTCGACCGCGGTTCGCGTCTCGGACCCGGTGGCTTAAATCTCACGCCGCGCGCGTGTGCGTGCGTGCCCAAGATCCCGAGAGGAGAATGGAGCAGAAGGGATTGCGGCTTGACCATACCCCTGGGGGGTGATTTCTCGCTTTCTGTCTCTATGTCTTTCTCTGTCTGTCTGGCGAGCGCACGCGCCCTATAGCGAAAACCTCTCCAAAAAAAAATTGTGGTAATCAAAACAGCATGGTATTGGCACAGAAACAGACAGGTGGACCAATGGAATAGAATAGAGTCCCCAGAAATAAACTCCCAGACATACAGCCAACTGATTTTTGAAAAAGGGTACCAGTCAATCCAGTGGGGAAAGGAAGACCTCTTTAGCAGGTGCTGGAAAAACTAGATATCCACCTGCAGAAAGATGAATCTGAATCCCTACCTCTCACCTTTGACAAAAATTAACTCAAAGTGGATCACAGATCTAAACCTAAGACCTCAAACTATAAAACTGCTGCTGGAAAACACTGGGGAAACTCTGGGAGACATTGGGGTAGGCAAAGACTTCGTAAGCACAGTCAGTAATTCCAAATAAGACCCCCAAAGCACAGTCAAAAATACCAAAAATATACAAGTGGGATTGTATCAGATTAAAAAGTTTCTGCATGGCAAAAGACACAATAATTAGTGTGAATCAACGGCCCTCAGAATGGGAAAATATTTTTGTAAACTATGCTGTCAGATAAGGGACTGATAACCAGAATACACAAGGAACTCAAGCAGCTATTCTGAAAAAAGATGATTAACCCTATCAAAAGACGAGAGAATTAGTTGAAAAAAAAAAAAAAAAACCTCTCTAAGGAAGACATACAAATAGTCAAAAGACATATGAAAAAATGCTCATCATCCCTCATTGTAAGGGAGATGCAGATCAAAACTATAATGAGATACCACCTAGCCCCAGTTGGAATGACAAAGACTAAGAAAACAAAAAATAAGGGCTGGTGGGGGTGTGGTGAAAGGGGAACTGTCCTACATGGCTGGTGGGAATGTAAACTGATCCAGACCTGGAGAACAATTTGGAGATTCCTCAGAGATCTACCAATAGAACTACTATATGATCCAGCAATCCCACTTCTGGGTATCTACCCAAAGGACAGAAGAATTCTTAATTGGAAAAGTGCTTGCACATCCATGTTTACTGCAGCATTATTCACAATTGCTAAGACATGGAACCAACCCAAATGCCCACGAACAGATGAAATGCACAAATCTTAAGCACACAGTCATTGGACGGAAACTAAACTTTACCATCAGCCCAGGGAGGGAGTTCTCCCATGTTCCTGCCAGGCCAATCCCTGCTCCCACATCTCTTAGAGGAAATACTGTTCTGATTTTCTTCTGTCATTAATTAGATTTATCTTTTCTAAAACTTCATTTAAGCACAGAATATATATTTTGGGGAAGAATATATTTACTTTTCCTCAGTGTCATGTTTTCTGTATTCATTCATGTTGTTGCATGCATTGGTAATTTACTCCTTTTCCTGACAGTAATGTTTCATTGCATTGGGTTGTCAGAAAAGTCATGATGCATTTTTTGCATTAAAAAAAAATAGAAAAATATATCATGACTTTTCAGGTGACCCAATATGTATCACAATTTGTTTATGTACCCTTCCACTCACAGACATGTGAACTCTACCCATTTTGACTGTCATTAATAATGTTTCTATGAATCTTCTTGTGCAAGTCTGTTTTAATTTCTACTGGGTGAATTTCTGGGAATAGAAATGCCGAGTCACAGGGTACGCGTATGTGAACCTTCATGAAGCAATTGCACAGAGCTTTATGGTTTCCCTTCCAAAGCAATCGCACTATTTTATATTGTCCGCCAGGATGAGAGTTCCAATTGCTCTACATCTTCACTAACATTAGGTATTATCAACATTTAAAGTTTTAACCACTCTGGTGGGTATGTAGTGGAGCTTCATCATGGTTTAAATTGCATTCCACTGAAGACTAGTGATGCTGAGCATGCGGTTGACAGCCATTTACTTATCATTTGGGGAAACATGTCTATTCAAATGCCTAGGACAGGGCTTGACCCACTTTGGGAATTAGAAAGAAAGGAGGAGGCAGCCTTAAGTAATTTAAGAAGCCCAGCTCTGGATTTGAGTCTTGGGCCTGCCACTTGCTATCTGTGTGACTTAAGTCATTTAATGCCTCTATGTCTCTATTTGATTGTCTATAGAATGTGGACAGCAACAGTCCTGCTTCCTAAGGTCATTGCCTGACATACAGGTATTATCACAACTGTGAGAAGATAGTGGTCCCACTAGGAATAGGTTGCCTAGGTTTGGCCCTGGCTTTCCATAATCTTGGGTAAGTTGCCTACTTGTCTGTGTTCTACTTGAACCATTTGTAAAATGAAGGTCGTGACTTCCTCTGGGCTTTATGTTAAGATTAGTGAGAAAATGCATGTACCTCCCACACAGTGAGTGGCCCATACAGAGCACTGTAATGTTAGCTGTCATCTCTATCATCACACGTGTATTCATTGACTCCCTGCAGATGTGGATGAGTGCAAGGAGAGGGAAGATGAGGAGCTGTCCTGTGACCATTACTGCCACAACTACATCGGTGGCTACTACTGCTCCTGTCGCTTTGGCTACATTCTCCACACAGACAACAGGACCTGCAGAGGTAGGGCCTGGGGCTGACTCTGTTCATCACTGTCATAGGTCTCATTTTCCAATAGGATCAGAGGAGGCTCAGAAGAAAGAAATGCAATAGGATCAATTTCAAATGAAGCCAGAAATACACCTCAAATACCATGTGGATGCAGACACTGAACTGTCCACCCAGCCTAGAATCCTGGACAGAGGTTCTCAAACGACTGCCTGGGAAGATCCTTAGACTATTAAGCTGTCTTTATTCCTAGGAAGCACTTCTGCTCTACAAGTCCCTATCGTCTTTCCTCTTGTAGGTAACTGGTCAGGTCAGCTTACAAAAATCTCTGGGTTTCCCAGTCCTTTCTTTCAGAGGCTTAAACTACGCTTTACCCACAAGTTCCTTCTGCCCTCTTCCATGGCCCCTAAGTTCCAATACAATGGAAAGAACTTTATTCCACAGGAAAAAAGGAGGGGGGAGAGAAGAGACAGAGATGGGAAGAAAACAATCCCATTCCTATCTCTTCCTTTGTATTTCTCATCACCATGACTACTGTGCTGTAGTCTCCAGTCTGGGGCAGGGATGGAGGGATGGACGAGTTCAGATACTTACAGGAGAAGTCCCAGTCTAGAGGTAGAGCAGCCACATAAGCAAATGTACATTTACTGCATTTATTTAAAAGAAGTGAGGGGACCATCAGTTAGCGTAATGGCTATGTCGCTGGACTCCCACGTAGTCGACCACGGTTTGCGTCCCGGACCCGGTGGCTTAAAACTCACGCCAGCCATGTGTGTGTGCGTGCCCAAGATCCCAAGAGGAGAATGGAGGAGAAAGGATTGCAGCGTGGCCATCCCGCCTGGGGGGTGATTTCTCGCTTTCTGTCTCTGTGTCTCTGTCTGTCTGGCGAGCGCACGCGCCCTATAGCAAAAACCTCTCAAAAAAAAAAGAAGTGAGGACACAGCACTACCAAACCCAGATTGGCCTAGAGAAGTGTGCAAACACTGCCCAGGTATGGTGACATTTGACAGAGATGAAAGAGGAGGGGATTTCACTCAGAGAGAACAGCTTCTAAAACTACATGTAAATATGACGAATCTAGAAATATTTAGGGAACTGTGGTAGAAAGTGTGATCCAGGGTAAGGGGCTGTGTTTGAGAGCTCATGTAAGCTGAGTACAGGTCACTAGAGGAAAACAAGAGTTACTTTCCTTCCTCCTTCAAAAACTGATACTTTCTTCTGAGAAAAAAACAAAAAAGATAATAATAACTTTAAATGATCCATGAGTATAAAGCAGTATGAAACAGGGACCAGCTGCAGGTGTTGGACTGCCACATGGTCAACTATAGTCCGAATCCCAGACCCGGAGGCCTGAAATACACACCAGTCACCTGTGTGTGTGAGCCGAAAGTCCTGAGAGGAGATGGAGGAGAAGGGATTGTGGTGTGGCCCTCCTCCCTGGGGGGTGATTTCTCAATTTCCTTCTCTATTGAGCACACAGGTCTTGTAGCAAAAACAAAACAAAACAAAAACAAAACAAAATTAAAAAGCAGTATAAAATAGAAGCTACAGACACAAAGGATTTTTCTTGAACAGGGTGCTTACACTATTATTTTCATTAAGTATTTATTTTGTACCTACTATGTGCTGATTGCAGAGAGAGCTCAGAATACTAAGAATAGAGCATGGTTTCAGCTTTCTATTAATTTTTTACCCCCAGCTTTTTCTTTCTTCTTTCTTTCTATTTTTTTTTTTTTTCTGGACAAGGTTTCACTGTGCCATGATCCTCCTGCCTCAGTCTCCTGAGCAGCTGGGACTGCAGGTGCACACCCCACACTGGGTTAAAGGATGGGCCTCCTCTGTAGCCTCAGCCTGCTGAGCAGGAGCCTACCAGCAAGTCGGACAGCAGCTAGGCCCCTACGAGCGTTTTTACATGTTGTTTTCCTAATGGCGTCCCCTTGCCTATGAAATTTTAATTCTGCAGATATATGTGCTGTATATCTGTTTAGGTGATATACATCAATATGTATATTTTGGATAAGAAGAGTAAGGTCTCCCCTGCCAACAGCAGATTTTAGCACCTTAGCAAGATCCCCCCCATGAGAATGCTTGGTATAGAAAATGAAAGCAGATGAAGATCAAGAAACCTGAGTGTAAACCCTCTGCAGCCCATAGCTGTGGGACTTCAAGTTAGTCCCACTCCCTTCCTGGGCTACAAGTTTTTCATTTGCAAGTAAGCAGGATGAACAAGGCTTAGAAAAAGTTAACATCCCAGATCTGGGATGGGTTGGCCCAAAGATAAAGGTTCAGTGGCAAATATAGATGCCTCAGCAGGGCTAAGTCTCAAGCAGGCTCTGAGGACACTGGGTCCTTGGCTACAGAAGTGCAGTAGGAAACGAAGCAGAATCTCTGAGCTCATGGAACTTACAGTAATGAGGCAAGAAAAGGAACAAAGGAAGATAGGACAACGCTGGGCCATGGACAGCACCAGGAAGAGCAGCAAAGCGAGGGCAGAGGCTGGAAAGTGAGGGTGCGTGTGAGGAACCCGTATTTGATGAGGGATCAAGGACCACTGTATTTCAGAACTCTCCCATTTCACGCCTCTCTTCCACCCCATGGCATTACCAGAGAATATGACTAGGAGGGTCATGATGAGGGGTAAATAGCCCTGGACAGAGAATTAGGAAGTCTTTGAGTCTCGACCCTGAAAATTACTAGGTTATGTGACCTTCGATCAACCATTTCCCTTCATTGACTTCCAGTTTTTCCATCTGTAAAATGGAAAAAATGGAGACACTGATTTCTTTCCTGCCTACTCCAAGGACAACCCCTCCAAGGATAGGGTTGCCATGCCTGTGGTTGTGTTGTGTCATTTTCTGTGCTGTTCCCCACAGTGGAGTGCAGTGACAACCTCTTTACCCAGAGGACCGGCATAATCACCAGCCCCGACTTCCCCAACCCTTACCCCAAAAGCTCTGAATGCTTCTACGTTATCGAACTGGAAGAGGGTTTCATGATCAACCTGCAGTTCGAGGACATCTTTGACATTGAGGATCATCCGGAGGTGCCCTGTCCCTATGACTACATCAAGGTAAGCTTACAATGAACACTTGTCCTGGGATGCTGGAAAATTCTAGCTGAATGGGGAAATTGACATTCTGAGCCCTTCGTTTTCCCCTAAGATAGGGACCACACAGCGCGCTTTCCAAAAGTCATTATTCAAAATACTATCTACCTGCTTAATCAGATCCAGTCGAGAGGACTTCCCCAACACCAAATTAGCCCCCAGACAGTAGAGTGGCTTGAAGTGGAGAGTCTACTGGGTCCAGTCTACACTTAGAAAGGTCAGGGGTGCCTGCATGGACATGCAGCCTGGGCAGTCACACAGGCCCTGGGCTCTGAAGGGCCCCCTTGGCTTACTACTCTGTTGCTGCCATCTTGAACTACGAAAACGCTCTGAACACTGGGCTTCGCATTTTGATTTTTCACTGGATCCCGGAAATTATGCAGCTGATCCCACTATAGGGAAAAGGGTGAAAGGCAAATAAAGAAGAAAGAGAGTGCCACAGGCCCATAACCAGTCCACGTGTGGTTATTCCAATAGTGTAGGTGAGATGCAAAGACAACCTGAATATGACCCATTGCTGTGCTAGAGGGGGAGATATTTTTGAGATCCATAGGAAGTAAAATCTTGTAGAGACATTGGCCAAAACATCCAAATAGAGTTAAACATTAGGGTTTGCTCTCAGGAGAGATGCTGAGCTGAATAGAGATGGATGCCATTGAGTATATAAATAAATGCTGGCTTAAGTCATAGAGATGGTGGGATGTCCTAGAGAGAAAAGGGGATGGAAGCTAGGACACAATAAATTCTGAGGGATAGACAGAGGAAAAGAAACCCATAAATGAGATCAAAAAGAGCCAGAAAGTGAGGTTGTCCAGGAGAAAGCTGTCTACCATGGGAAAGGAACAAGAGGAGAATCATGAGTGTATAAAAGCAAATGCAAGAATTTAGAACCTGCCTGTCCCCTACTCAGATATAGAAGCTAAGATGCAGCTTGACTGCAGGTGGGACAAAGGAGGCATAGTGCATGGGTTTTCTAACGCTGTCTTCAAACCTAACACCATGTAACACTTGCTTCTTTTTTTAGGATAATTTTGCCAGGGGGCATTTGTGCTCACCTGAGAGAGACAGAGAGAAAGAGAGAAGGAAAGTACCCCCGTGAAGTATAGTCATGCCATAATACTGTCTCCTTTACTTCTCCCTCCTGTCCAGATTTTGGGCACAGGCCAATATGGTTTTCAAGCCGCTGGATCTGAGACTCCAACCAATCAGGAGGCCATTGTGATCCAGCCTTATTAACCACCTTGGCACAGGCTGTTCCTCAGTACCCACTTCTTACCACACCGTCCTGTAAGTCAGAAACCGAAATCTTGGCTTAGGGTTTCATGAGACTGAAATTAGGTGTCAGCTGGACAGAGGTTTCTCTGAAAGTTCTGGGCAAGAATTCACTTTCCAGGTATTTTAAGTTGTTGGAAGAACTAAGTTCCTTGTAGTCATGGGACCGAAATCCTCACCTTCCTGCAGGCTGCCTCAGCATCTAGAAGCTGCTGTCTGGTCCGTGTTGCTTCCTCTCATCCTGGCTACAGAGATTCCTTGCACACTCTGAATCACCCTGCCTTCTCCTACTGGTGGCAACAGGAGAAAACTCTTAACTTTAGGCTCTTATGATGGAGTTAGTTCTGCCTCACTCCCTATTTTTATTTCAACTAACAAATGACTTAAACTGCACCTGCAAAATCTCATTTGCCATGCAACATAACACAATCTCAATGTAATAATAGCAGGTGCAAAGACCATGGGGACTGTCTTGGATGGCTGTTCACCATGCAGTGTCCCCAGAGCTACTCAGGGTGCCTTATCCAGACATTGAACCTCCTGGGTTTTACTTGTTCCCCCTCTCCACAATAAGAATGAAAAGATGATATTACCTAACGTTGTAGAAATCACTGAAGGATAGTTAAGTAGTCTTGATCCTCAGAAATAGGAGGGAAAAAGGTGGAAGGCGTAGAAAGGACCCACGACTAGGAGGTGGGAATCTGGACCTGCTAATAGAGTCTATTGCCTTTTCTTCTCCACTGTCTCCATCCTAGTCCCCAACCACAGCCTCTCTCCTGCTCAGCCTTCCTGCTGGTTTTCTTGCTTCCACTCTTGCCTTGCACAATCTATTCTCTCATAAAATCAACAGTGATCTTTATGAAAGTTAGATTCCATGAAGATTGCACTTGGCATTCAACGCAAATTCTCAATATGCTTGGTCTTCACCTTCCTTTCCAACCTCATGCCCCAGCCACACTGGCCTCCTCCTGTCTCTAACACTTGCCAAGCTCTTTCTTGCTTTCGGCCTTGTTCTTTGCACATGCTGTTTTCTCTGGCTAGAAAGTATTTGTCCTCGTCTTCATACAACAGTCTCCTATGTCTCAGATCCAATGTCACCTCCTCAGAAAGGCTTCCTTGATGTCCTATTTAAAGTTATTACTTAGAGTATGACTGCCCATTAAACGAATTATGAGTGCTATAGGTAAGATAAATTTTACTCATAAATTAAACATATGGCATCTATTTCTACCAAATACGTACACACACACACATATATATATACACACACATATATATGCACATATATACACATATGTGTATATCTATTATAGGATTATCAGAAAAGTCATAGTTACTTTCTATGCCAATATGTATTGTGACTTTTCCAACAACCCAATACATAAAATCCTGATCATTTTTATTACTCTTTTTTTTTTTTTTTGGAGAGGTTTTCACTATAGGGTGCGTGCGCTCGCCAGACAGACAGAGAGAGACAGAGAGATAGAAAGCGAGAAATCACCCCCCAGGGGGGATGGTCATGTCGCAATCCCTTCTCCTCCATTCTCCTCTCGGGATCTTGGGCACGCAAACACACACACCCGACGTGATTTTTAAGCCACCGGGTCCGGGACGCAAACCACGGTCGACTCCGTGGTAGTCCAGCGACATAGCCATTATGCTAACTGCTGGTCCCCATTGTTATTACTCTTATAACAGCCTATAATTATTTTATTATTTCTTATTAGTCTCCCCCAACTAGACTACAGGTTCTTTGGGAACAGAGACACGATCTGTTCTGTGTACCAACAGAGGATTATTAGCCTGTCTTGTCTACTTCCAAGGCACTGTAAATTTTAAACGGGAGAGCGATGATGAAACTGACTGGTGAATGGTGAGGCCCACTGAGAACATGAGCGACCCCGTGGGCTCACCTCCAGGCTTACAGGAAACCTCCAGTGTAGTGTAGAAGGGCTGCCTTCCCCGGCCACCGCAGCGCTCAGACGTGACCCTTCTTTTTCTTGATTTTGCTTTTTACAGATTAAAGCTGGCCCAGATGTTCTGGGGCCCTTCTGTGGGGAGAAAGCCCCAGAACCCATCAGCACCCAGAGCCACAGTATCCAGATCCTGTTCCGCAGTGACAACTCAGGCGAGAACCGAGGCTGGAGACTCTCGTACAGGGCGACAGGTGACTGTCCCCTCTCAGATCACGCTAAGCCACTGTGCTTCCAGAGGAGGTGGCTGAGGGAGGAGGGATGCAGACCTGGGACTCCCCTGGGGGCTGATGGGACGCCAGCTGAGTAGCTTGGAGCCAAGGCACAAGTTCTCTTGACTCAGCTTCCCTTCTATGAAAAGGGGACAAGGGCAGCAATGACGTCACGTTCAGACTAGACTAGTTTTCAAAACTTGCTGTACTTCAGAATCACGTGGGTAGACGTTTTAAAGAACTCTTGTTTCCTGGACTGCTCCCTTCATATAGTGAGGCCTGGGGAAGCCCTTCAGCTCCAGCCTTCTCCGTGTATGGGGCTGGAATTACGGTGTGGGCTTGTAGCTCAGAATGTTTCACTATGGTGGTTTGCCTATCTGTGGGCACCAGACTAGCACAACCCCTGGGCCCCATCCCCCAGCCCCCCAAAGTGACCAGTCCTGGTGCAAACCCTGACAGAGCCACTTGACCCAAAGGGTCTGCAGTAACCCAGAAGGGGGTGGACAGTGACAAGAACACACTGCACATGACTAGCACAGTTCATGGAGTCTGAGCCTCTGGCCTGCTTGTGTCCTCACATTCACACCCGTCTGGCCAGGGGAGAGAATATTAACAAAGCAGAGTTTGTAAGAAGAAAGTACAGGAATAGGCCCAGGCCTGAGGATCAGATTTAGCCTTTGTTTTGTTTGTTTGGTTGGTTTTTGTGTCGCCAGAGGGCATAACACATGCCACGGGAGAGAGAGAGAGGACCCCAGTGGGGCCTGTGGTGCGTGGTCTTCTTTCCTCCAACTCTCTAACCCATCAGGACCCTGGGCATATGTGCTCAGGCCCAACGTGTTTTTCAGCCATGGGGGCTCCAGGTTCCTGCGTGCAGAGCCTACCCACTGTGCTATTTTAAATGATAGCAAACATGTGCACATACACATAAGAGAGAAGAAAGAGAAAGCATTCTTAACAGAGTCCCATCATACTGCAACCTTCTCCCCAGCCCTCCAATTCCTCAAGACTCTGGGTACCTGTGAGTGCCTAGTCCATTTTCAGGTTTACCTGGGGTCTGCACCCAGGTCAGAATGCATGGCCGGCCATGCAGCTTCAAGTACTGCAGTTCAGTAGCCATAGACTGCATCATCTGGGCTGGGCCAGATTGAGCCTTTTGAAGAGAGGACTCATAGACTCATCACAGTCTCTCTGATGCTTTGAAAAAAAGTCTTGGGGGAAAAAGTGATTGGCTCATCTTGGGTGGCACAAGAGGGCAAGCTACGCTCAATGAATAAAATGACAAGAGCGCTCATTTCAGCTGAAATTGCTCATTCAACAAGAGGGATTAGTACATGGAAGGTACAAGTTTGGTAGGTATTGAGCTTTCTGTCACTGTTGGGACACCAAAAATTGAATACAGGTAGATGTTTGGTGTCTAGCACAGAGGATGTTGTAAAGGAAGTATCAGATGAAGGTTCGATTCAGTGACATTTAATAATCCTTCCAACCCGGAGTCAACAAGCTCATGGCACAAATAAGGAAATGGAGGTCCAAGTAGGAAAGTAGCTTGTTCCAGAAGTCTCTTATGGAGCGTACAAGGTTCAGGCCTCTAATATCTAGTTCTGCAGTTCCACCTGCATCAGGCCTTGTCTTCTAGGAGCTGACCTGCTACTGTCAAACCTTTCTGTTTCCTCACCTGCTGTTTTTTTCATTTGTTTCCCACCAGGAAATGAGTGCCCAGAGCTACAGCCTCCTGTCCATGGGAAAATCGAGCCCTTGCAAGCCAAGTATTCCTTTAAAGACCAAGTGCTTGTCAGCTGTGACACAGGCTACAGAGTGCTGAAGGTGCAGGGCCCTTCCTGGGGAGGGGAGCGACCTGGCCAGAGAAACTCTGCAGAGCCTCCGAGGGCCAATGGGCTGCCGGAGCTTCTCATAATCCTAGCACAGTATTTCCTAGCTGCCCTACAGACCTTCCAAAGGCTCCAGAAATTTCAAAGCATGTGTTCCAGACCATCTCTCACTTCTGCACATGGCACAGAAATCTGTTATCAGAGAATGAGCTAGTTGGAATTAAGAAAAGAAGAAGAAAGAGAGAAATGAATCTTTGGGGCCAGCAGGTGGTGTAGTTGTTAAGGTGCTGGACTCCCACATGGCTGTGGTAAGAGTCCAGACCCAGTGGCTTGAAACTCACACCAGGGGTATGTGCACACATGCATGCCCAAAATCCCAGAAGAATAGAGGAGAAGGGATTGCAGTGTGGCCATTCTCGGCAGGTGATACCTTGCTTTCTCCTCACTGTCTCTCTGTCTCCTCCAGGGAGCACGTGTGTCCTACAGCAAAACCTTAAATAAAAAAAAAAAAAAAAAAAAAAGGGGGGACCAGCAGTTAGCATAATGGCTATGTCGCTGGACTCCCATGTAGTCGACCGTGGTTCGAGTCCTGAACCTGGTGGCTTAAACTCATGCCAGGCGCATGTGTGTGTTTGCCTAAGATCCCGAGAAGAGAATGGAGCAGAAGGCATGACCATCCCCCTGGGGAGTGATTTCTCGCTTTCTGTCTCTCTGTCTCTCTCTGTCTTTCTGGCGAGTGCATGTGCCCCATAGCAAAAATCTCTCCAAAAAAAGAAAAAAAAAAAAAAACCATGTACCGCTACAACTGGGGATAACCTTAACAAAGTTCGTTAGACTTATAGGATGGGGTGGGTTACTGGAAAAGGAAGTAAGCGTTTTAGAAGTGTCAAATGAGCACTTCTTACTCTCTCACTATGTGAAACAGTGGATTTCCTAGGGATCACCTGGTTTGCTTAAAAAAAAAAAAGAAGGAAAGAATAATAGGAAGAAGAAGGGGAGGGGGAAGGAAAAGAGGAAGAAGAAAAAGAAAAGAATAGGAAAAATTTACCTTCCAGGTCTCCTCTGAAAACAGAAAGCAGAATCTTTGGGACAAGAATCAGTGACTGTTTCTTTTGTTTTCGTTTTTTCTTTCTTTCTCTTTTATTTTATTTTTTTAGGTTTTGCTCACTGGTGAGGGGGAGAGAAAGAGAAAGTGAGAGGGAAAGCGAGAAATCACCCCCCAGGGGGGATGACCACACTGCAATCCCTTCTCCTCCATTCTCCTCCCAGGATCTTGGGCACGCACGCACAGGTGCCTGATGTGATTGTCAAGCCACGTAGTCCAGGACACGAACCATGGTCAGCCACGTGGCAGTTCAGCAACATAACTGTTATGCCCTCTGCTAGCCCTGTGGTTTTTTTTTTTCTGCCCCTCAGGTAAGTCTAACGTGCAGCTCAGTTAGAGGACCACCACCTTCAGAGTGTTTCTCCAAGAGGGTCCTTGGACCAGCAGCCTCAGCACTACCAGGGAACTTGTTGAAATGCAAATTCCTGGGTTGGCCAGACCCCTGAGTCCGAAATTCTTGGGGCAGGCCAGCTGCCTGTGTTTCACAAGCCTTCCTGGTGTTGCTGGCCGCTTGTGCAAGTCTGAGAATCACTGAAAAGGGAGTCAGAGCCCCGGTTTTCCCTTCAGAGACATTTCCCCAACACTTTTTATACAGATGCTGCATCACTCCAGGGTATGAACATGCGCGATAATTTATCCTTCCCTTGTTCTCGAGCTGGCCTTGGAAACCTATGGGTAGAAAATCTCAGGAGAGAACAGCCAGGCTAGGAGTTCGAGTTGGTCTTGCTGGGAAACAAACATCAACCCGCCTGCCACCTCCTTCCCACCTTCTTCTTCTATTTTTTCCCAGGATAACGTGGAGATGGACACATTCCAGATTGAATGTCTGAAGGATGGGACGTGGAATAACAAGATTCCCACCTGTAAAAGTAAGAAAACTAAACGGGTTGATTATAAGGCTAATGCTCCCCCCTACACCACACTCATAGGACTTGAAGTGGCCGGGCAAGAGTGATGGGTGCAATCTAAGAAGGATGGGGGCAGAATCTAGCAGACACATGAGGGTCAGACAAAAAAAAAAAAACCATTAATGCCTCTTTCAGCAATAAGACTTCAGGATCCCTCCCAAAAAAACTTTTTGGGATCCCTCATTTACTTTCTAAAAATAAATTGTATCTATAGATTGCCAGACTTGCTAAGGGATGTCTTGCTAATAGCATGTCTCCAGGTTTAAAATGAGCTCTGGCAATTGCTAGTTCAGGAAACTAGCCTAGTGCTGATGCCCAGAGTTGAGTGACTTTGCCAGTCTCTATGTGCCCATCAGTCATGTCCACTGTCTTCTGGGACAGCTCGTGCTTTAGGGCCTTGTGGGCAGTCTGTGGGGTCAGCACAGTGGAGCTGTGTGAAGGGAGGCACCCAACTCTTCCCTGGCTCTTCAGACCCAGAGTTCTTGCCTTGACTTTTCCCCAACCCACTCTGTGACTATGAACAAGACTCTTTGCCTCAACATAAAATAAAATGGACTAGCTTTCATATTCTAGAATATATGCCAATGATTCTAAAATAATATAGTTCATACAAATCATCCATTGAGCTTTGCAAAAAGAAGGGTGGAAAGGGTGGAAGAGATTTGCTTTAGAATGGAGAGGTGAGATATCAAGAATTAAGTATGGTCCCACTCACCCCCAGTTCATGACTTTCCATGTAACCTTTAAAGTACTGTCTTCCCTTTGGCCTATGTGGCTCTGATCCAGGAGACAGAGCCACTCCTGCTGCCCCAGAGGGACACTCTTCGGCAGTGAAGTGCCTTGAAGCAAATCCTGGGCAGACCTTTGAAGCACAATGTGCTTATTAGTAATTTTTCTTTTTTATATGATGACGAGGCTGGAGTCAGGGCCCAGTGTGGGGAAAGAGGGCATGTAATGGCTTCACCCAAAAGTGTCAACAAATGCTCACTGAACTCCTGAACCAAGCTCTACAGCGGGTTCATACAGAAAAAACCAAGAGGCTCACATGGAGACACTCAAATACTGGCAGACGTAGCAACCACCTCCTCCAATATGTGGTTTGATGTATAGTGTGGTGCCCGGAAAAGCATTTTGAAACCAAAGGACATTTTAGAGGAGAAGGTAAAGGGTGCTATGGAGTGTTCAGGACATAACTGGCTTTGGAGTCAGGGAGTTCTAGATTCAAATGTAGATTTTACCAGCTAAGTACATGTGAACAATTCACTCAAACTCTTTTGGCCTATTTCTTGCTTTCAAGATTGTTAAGAACTAACTGGCTTAATATACATACTTTTCATGGAGCACCAGGAATAAGTAAAAGCTCAATAAAAGCTTGCTTCTCCCAGCTCCCAAACCAACCCCCTCGTTAGGAAGAGGTTTGGTTTTTCTCATTCATGTTTTTGGAAAGTAGAAAGCATCATTAATGTTTTCCCTGATGAAACCCACCCACACACGCTTTTTATTACAACAGATGCGTTGACGAGTAGGGCACTACTGTACTGGTTAGTGCTGTTTTATGTGAAGTATGTTAGCATACAGTAGAATGCCTGGTCATTTTGTACAATAGAAAAGTGACCTAATACATCCCCGTCACTGCATAATAAACCGATTAGGACTATTAGAATTTTCATTCAGACACTACTCGATCTCTCTCTTTACTCAGTATTTATTGAGAATTTCTCCATGCCAGGCACTGTGCTAGGCCCTAAGAAAGATGCAAAAATAAGACTGAAAAGTCGAGAATTCCAGGAATTAAAGTAAGGGGCTGGAACAGATAAGAAGGGTGCAATTTTTAACAAAGAAACATGCACTGGAGCAGGAGGTGGGACGGTGTGCTATCCTGACTCTGCCTCTGTCCTCTGTGGCAGTCCTGGTCAAGACCTGCTCTACTCTGAATGCTATCTGTCAAATAAGGGTTTAGACCAAATGAATGCAAACCTCCCTTCAGGGGCAGAAATTTTTTTAAGGATTTTTAGGATGCTTGTCTGTGCAAATTCTCAGAATGTACAAATTCCACAATCCCAAACTGTCGTCCTTCATACTGGCTGAACCTAAACTGTGCATTCTTAATCAATTCTGGTGGAGTGATTTCTGTATTTCTTGCATGAACTGTTTCTGCTTTGCTTGCTAATTCTTTTCCTCTTCCTCTCTCTTCCTCTCTCTCACTCGCTCCTCCTCCTCCTTCTCTTTTCTTCCCCTGTATCTTCTGATCCCTCTTTGATCTTCACCATGGTGGCAGAAAACGAAATCGATCTGGAGAATGAACTCGAGTCAGAGCAAGTGACAAAGTGAATGACGGGACCCCACACAGTGCAGACATCCGGGAATGGATCACTCACGAGACCCCCCAGACCCCAGAGCTCCTCCAGCCCCCCACCTGCCAACACTCCATTGCTGTTTCAGTGTGGATTAGAGTGGACGCTGAAAAAGTGATACAGTCTCAGCAGTTGAAGCTGCTGTGTGTGTGAGGACAAATTCTCCATTTGAGGATTCATTCATCATTCAAATGTTACTCCAAAAAATAATGAAAAAACAATGAGGGAGTTTTAGAACCTCTAAATGGATTTTTACTTTTATCAAAGGAAAAATGCCTTCAATCCTAGAGAGACAAGGTTTAATAAACAATTATGTGGCCTTAGGCTGACCAAGACAGAGTGGGGTCTGGTTTTGAATCCACTCCATACTTCAAATTTAAAATGGGCCAGAATGCCTGTGACTGAGACTTTAAAATTTTCATCTCTTGCTATGTTCTTAATGACCATGAGTAGGTAAATTAATAACCCATAGAGTGTGGATTTCTGAGAATCTAGACACTTTGTCATTCATGAAAGTATCCCTTCCACTCCACACCTAACATTTCATTATTAGAGGTTCTTTCTTCTTGGGCTTGAAAGTTTGGCTATTCTTAAAATTCACTGATTAAAATTTTTAAAAAGATAGTTGATATTACACTTGAAATGAGTGGTGCTTGGTGCTAGTGCCATGGGACATTGGTGGGTCACAGCGATAAGGGGCTTGGGGAACCTGCCAACCTGCTGGAATTTCTGCTTTGGCCTGAGCAAAGTCTGGAATGTGCATATCAGAGGACCCCTGCATTCAGTTGTGACTAGCCAGTCTACTGGGTGATTAAATGCCACTTGATGACATCGCAACCCTATAAGGGTGGACACTGAGCCATCTGGAGACTGAGGTGCCATCTCAGGGTCAAGATGATGCTGAGAGAAGAGATGGGCTGGTGACTAGGATGACCGCCAGTTGAATAAATATTTTTAAGCCTGCAGAGTATTAACAGATATACTCTGCAATAGAGGGAATTACACTTTAAGAAGAAAATCATAAGACAGGGCAATATGAGGTACGTGCCATAGAGACATGATCCATGAAGTTCAGAACAGAGACAGCTGTTTGGTTAGAAGAATTAGAGAAGTATCTCAAGAAAAGGTAGTGTTTGAGGCCTCGAGGGTGGCCGGAGCACAAACACAGAGTGTCCCAGGCAGCAGTGAAGGCACAAGCGAGGCCTGGAGGGAAGGCAGGGGGAGAGAGCGGGACACTGGAGGGCCTGGTACTATTGCGCCAAGGGGAGGGAAGACGATGAGGCTAGGAAGCTGGCTGTGCCCCATCCTGGAGGTTCAAGTGCAGGTGAGCTGATTGCACACAGTTCTCTAGGAACCCCCAGATTATGACAAACCATGCTTAGGACTGCAGGGCAAGAAAGATTTGGCTAAAGGAAAATAAATAGCAGCAAGACGTGAGAGTGAAGATGGGGAACGGGATGGCACAGGCCATTCAGAGAGTGCAGAGAGGCCAAGGGAATAGGAGAGACAAAGGCGTCTTGATGTGGATATGGATGTGGAAGTAGCCAGAGAGAGCTTTGGAGAAAAGGATGGAACCCCTCCTAAAGCAAAGAAGACGGAGTTGACCGAGGAAGCAGGGTCTGATACATGCTGATTGTGCCAGGCAGGTCAGTTCAAGACCCTTCCTAAAGTGAAGTTGCCTCCAGTTGCAGAGAGCTATGGTCCAGTTGCAGAGAGCTATGGCTTTATTAAAGAAGTGCATTATTCCCCACTCACTTCAACCAAGCTACTGCGACCCTTTATTTTCCCCTGTTTCTCTCCCCTTCCGTCTGATTGTAGGGCCAGCTGTATTAGTAGGCAGAGTGATATAAACGCAGACCCTCTACCCAGAAAATATCTCCCCACCAGTGCCAACTGCATAATAGACTCTCAATAGCCTGACTGCCTCGCCACATCTAAGGCCAGCCCTGGGATTTCCCCCAGGACCTAGGTAGCTCAGCCTTGTGGATGACGTCAGCAAAATCCGCTGCTGGACCAGAGCCAAGGAAGATGAGAGCCATACTAATATCGAGGCACCAGTCAATGGCCTTTCTCAAAGAGGAGGAAAATCTGCTTTGAGTCTCAGCAAGAAAACAGTTCAAACTGTTGATAGTCTTTTAAAATAATAAATACCATTAGCTCCTATTACCCTAGTGTTGGCCCTCACACATTCACCTCGCAAAGTAGAGGAGCGTCTCTACCTTTGACTGGTTAAAGAAACGGGAAGGATTTGTTGAGGGGGATTAGAAGCCAGGACAGAATCAATTTTCTTGGCTTCCTCCTGTGTGGATAAGAAGTACCTAGATGAATTCCCTTCCTTCATCCCATCCTCTAACTAGAGGGCCTTGGAGACCCATGTTTTAAGTTAGCTAACATTTTAGTCAATCAAAAATAATGTATTTGGAGTGCTAAAGTTAAAAATCACAACACCTGCCTAGAACTAGGAGGTTAATCACCCCTCTTTCCCCCTCACCCCCCAAGGTGAGCAAATAAAACTCAGGAGGAGGTAGAACTTTGAAAATTTTATCAGGGCTTTGGAAACATCAACAACTAATGCCCACCACTAGCCAGTTAATATCTAGTCCAGGACACTTAAATGGGAAACTTTTTTTTTTTTTAAGAGAAAGATTTTTACTATGGGGGTATGTACTCACTGGAGAGACAGAGAGACAGAAAGCAAGAAGTCATCCCCTGGAGGGATGGCCATGCCATAATCCCTTCTCCTCCATTCACCCTCAGGATCTTGGGCACGCACACACACACGCCCAGCATGAGTTTTAAGTCACAGGATCCAGAACTCAAACCATGGTTGACTATGTGAGAGTCTAGTGACATAACCATTATGCCATCTGCTGATCCCTGTAAAATATTTTTAAGAACTATCAGTTCCATTTACTAAATGAGCACTTAGTTCAAGGTCCCACCTAGTTCTCACTCTGAGAGTAACTTGCTGTGTGACCTTAGACCAGTAAAGTCTCCTTTCAGAACTCACCTGTAGAATAAAGAAGATGCACTAAAGTACCTACCTCCTTTCCAACTGTGAAACACTGTGGTTCTTTGACTCTTTGACTGGCATAGGCTGTTACACCTAAAATTAAGATTTCATTAGAAATAAGCGTTGTCCCATAAAGAGGCCCTTGAAGAGAGACTGACAAACAAGGTCCTCAGCCTTTGACGTGACCATGACTAGGTGCCCTGAATCTCAGCTGATTTATGCTGGACTCCCTCAGTGCTGGCAATATCCCAAGACCTGACTGGATCTGCAAGCTCCCCAAAGACCACCTCTGAGGAACAGGCATCTTTGGTCATGCTCTATCCTGGGACATCTTCTCCAGCATCTGGCCACTAACCATTGGAGAAAACAAGCAGGTGAAGACTAGCAGCTGGTCCACCTCCAGCGCCATCCCTGCCTTCTGGCTAAGAGAGTTGCTGTAGGGAGCCAGCAGGGTGGGGCTGTGTACTTGTGCAGGAGCTGGGGTTTTTGTTTGTTTTTCTTTTTTTGTGCCAAGCTCAAATGTGAGCACATGAACTGCTCTTGCACAGCCTGTGGTTGAAACTGGAAGAATGGATGAGTCTTTGGCTCATGTCAGCCAGGATTTTCTCACTGAGCCATGGGCTTCAATGCTTGGGCAAAAGGCAGAGAGGATTGCACAATAGAACTGGAAGTCAAGGAAAGGGCCATGGTGGGGAAGAAAGTGGGATCTGCCTAAATCTCAATAGACCCGCCCCTGCCTTGAAATTGGCACCTTTCCAGGTGAGTTGACCCACAGCAATACCATCCTGGCTGGGAGAGACCCCGCAGCAGCCCCCTGCACAGATTGCACTCTGCAGTCCCAGGGGCACCACTCAGCTAGACGGCTCCCTGGGGCTGAGTGAGGCGCACAGCCTGCACAGCTGTATGAGACAGGCCCACCAGAAGGCCTCAGGAGGAAAAGCACGGTAACTGAGGGGTCTTCCATCTTCTTTCTTAGTTGTAGACTGTGGAGTCCCAGCCGAGCTGGAACATGGGGTGGTCACCTTCTCCACAAGGAACAACCTCACCGTTTACAAATCTGAAATGAGATACTCCTGCCAACAGCCCTACTACAAGATGCTCCCCAACATCTCTGGTAAGCCTTATGCTAAACTCTGCCTCCCACCTCCCAGTCTCCAGACGCAGGCTGAGGATGGGGCCAAAACAACTCGGAAAGGAATGACTATTCATGGCATGTGGCGCCTTCCAGGGAAAATGAGTCTCAGGACCCAAACCCGGGCTTTTCTTTTTTTAACTTTCAATCTAGCACTGACTCTATAATGAGTATACATCTCAATGAGAGCGTGAGGGGGTGTACATTGACACAACTGAGGGAAAAACGAGAACCTAAAACAAGCCTGGGATCTCCCAAGGTAAACTCCTTCATCATTGCCTGAGGCCGAAGGCCACTTCCAGTGTTTCTGCCTTGGCCTTTGCCTAGTGTGACATCTGCCCAGACCAGACCCATCCAGCAGGCCTTGTAGGAAGCCTTCCTTCAAAGCCCTTACGCGGGGCTGGCCTTGGTGCCGTTGTAATGCGATGCTCCGCCATGCGGGGCCCCCAGGGGAAGACCCCAGGTTCTTGGCCCAGGGTCTCCCTGTGCACAGCAGGTATACGTGTGTATACCCATCATCCGGGCTGATTAAGGCTGGGATTGTGGAGTGAGGACCTGTTTGATGGTGCCTGTCTCTTTATCTCTTAAATTAAAATATCTCTGAAATTAAAAAGATCTGTTCCCCTGATATGCATAGGGGTCCAGGTGGGGTGGGTAGGGTGTGGGGATGAGAAACAGATCTGTCTGCTTCACCAGGGAACCCGGCATATCCCCTGACAGAGACTGAAGCACAGCTGCAATGATCCCTGTCTAGGGAATGCATCCATGTCGCAGGGCAGGGAGACCCCGGGCAGCTCCAGGGCTTGGTAGCAACACACAGGTCAAGGAGGGAACCAGCAGTGGCTCGTCGACTGCCCACAGTGGGGCTTTGGGAGGAACTGGGAAGCGGAAACCTGGAGGTTTGTCCTGCTTCATCGTGACTCAGGCCCACACCCCAGAAGTGAGGTCCTGTAGTACCCCAACACCCTCACATACACACACAGTCCCCAGTACAAAGGGGACCCCCCCGAAAGTTGGGGAGGTCTGTCAGCTCTGTCTCTGTGACATACAAGCACTAAGAAAATACTCTCCATTTCTCTAAGCTTCCAAATCCCCACTTTTCAAAAAGAGAACAGAGATGTAGCTCAAGGAGCTAACACGTAGTGTGAGACGCAGATGAGACAGACACGGGCGTGCCTTACTGAAGAGTTTCTTAGGTGGCAAAGGCGGGGGGGGGGGGGGGCTTGTGCTCTGCAGAGAACTGGGTGAACCGAGGCCGGGAGGACTCATGAGGAGGAGGTGTCTACCAGGGACCGGGCAGCTCAGGGCAGGGAGGGGAGCAGGAGTCTGCTTGCACAGAGCCTTGGATTCCACACCAAGGACCTGGTGTTCAGTCCTGAAGACAAGAGGAGTCCTTGGTGATTTTGAGCTGGGAAGAGACATGGCCACGCTCCCATATTAGAAAGAGGGCAGTATCAGGGGGACATCTGGGTAGCTTTGGCAATGAACCACACTACAGAAGTTAAGAGTCCAGACCTACTTTCCATGTGCTACCAATTGACCATTTTCCTCTCTACGTCTCCACCTTGTTTCACTCACCCAGGTATATACACATGTTCTGCTAAAGGATCCTGGATGAATAAAGAGATGGGAAGAAGCCTACCTACCTGCCTTCCAGGTACCTCACCCTCTAAACCCTCTGCCTCAGGGTCTCCCGTCTCAGACCCTAGGGCCTCAGGTGCTCTGGCTGTTAATAGGAAGTTGTGGGGGCAGGGCCTGGGCAGGAGAGGTGATGCTTTCGCTGTGTTTTAAGAGATGTCTTTAAAAGGATGAACATCAGAGAAGTGCAGCCTCCTGCCTCTCAAACCAGCCAGCCTCTGTACTCAGTCAGCTCACACCCGAAACCTGTCTCTTCTCTCTCTGGTCCTGCTCCCCTTCCATCATGTTTTTCATCATCCCAATGTGTGTGTGTACCTGCTGCAATGCCAGAAAGACAGTGGGTGGCCCACCCTCGAGCACTCATCATGCTGTAAAGGAAGCGATACCATCATATGAGTAACAACTGCAGGACAGAGTAAGAGGAATTTCCGGAGAGCAGTGTGTTCAATTCTTTCTCATCACTCCCTTCCCCATGGTTCACCTACTAGTCCCATTTTATAAGAGAAAGGGAATCCTGTGATCACAGGGAGTGTCACCGTGCAGACATATCTGAGAGTTCCGTGCTTCAGCGTGAGAAGTATGGACGATCCACATTGTTATCACATGTGTGCAAGTTGACTTAGGAAAACATAGCCCCAATATGCACACACTACAGATAAAAAAGAAGCCATGAAAAAATTAAATGTTCACAACACAGTAATTTACACTTAAAAAAAAAAAGAAAGGAAGGAAGGAGGGAAAATGAGACCAGCAGTAACTACGAAGGCAGCACTGAGGAGCCCTGCAGATGAAGTGTCTGGGAGTCTGTCCGCACATAGCACAGACAGCAGGAGCCTTGCAGTGTGGCTAAGGGGTGGGCAGCATGCGTCTCTCACTGAGTTAGAATGCTGAATAAAGCGAGATAGTGTATTAATGGTGCATTTTAGTAACCCTCGACATTTACTCCGTGTGCTTCTAGATGTTAGATTAGACATTAAAATGGAAGGTCTATGGAGGTAATAATTATTTTCTCATTTAATCCTTAAGAAG